GCCATTTTACTATATTTATCAGTTTTATTGCATTTGGGGTTAATATTGTGTGAGAAATGACAGTGTCGCTCTGTAATGAAGATAGAACGCGCCTTGGGGTGTTCCTTTGTGCTAAGGGTGGACATTTCTATAGTTGTTTACGGTGCATCTAGGGGCAAGGGTCTAGGTTTGGCAGGTTGCAGACATTCTACTCCTTGAAAGATTCAGTTCGTAAGTTTTATAAGGAAGTGTCTTCCAACATTCTCAGATTTGTTTTTATGCTTATTTATATATTTTTAATAGATAAAAATGTGGTCTAAAATTTTTATAATGTACTGCTTATTGGTAATGTAAATTGTGTTTGAGAAAATTAAATTTCTCTAAACAAATTTCCAGTTTAGACTGTCAGTACCAAATTTGATCGAAATCCATTGAATTATTTTGGAGATGTAACATGCAGATCGACGGCTAGACACGTTTCTCTTTGCAAACTTTGTGCAAATAATGCGTAAAAATGCAACTCAGCATCTCCGTATCTTCTGGCATTGTTTTCAGTTATTTCGTAAACCTTCTATCGGCATTCAAAACAAATTTGTAATGTTTCTTAAAATACGTAATAGGGCTCAGACTCGCACTGCGTGTTCATTTTACCCTTCTCAAAGCTTCCGTGACGTCAGCCCTATCCCCTGCATTGCGCTCTCAAGAGACAACACTGACGTTCATTTTGATAGAGAACAGCCATGTCTTTTTTACCCTGATCTAATGACGTGCATGGTGTAGCATCAGAAGTGACGGATTAATGATGATGTATTGGAGATGATACATAATGACGTGGAAATGATAAAAATACACTCTCGGGATTCAACAGACGGAAACAAATGAAGATCTTGCTCCCATAATTGGTTTCGTCACACATTACACACATACACTCACCCTCTTTCTTCGCTGTTCTTGCCGGAGACTGAAGTCTGTCGTGATCAAGAATGGTATTAGGAAGAATAAATACGTGCATGTCCGGGTAGATCCCGATCTCAGGAAGCTTTTTTCTACTTAACTCTTTTGTAGCACCCAAGACAGCCACCGCAGTAAATGTAAATTTCAACTACCGCGTTTAATGTACACCTACTGACACGTAATATACAGTACGAATGATATCTAAAAAAGAGAAAAATAAATAACAGGCAACTGACTAATTAAGAAGTATACAGTAAATTTATTAATGGACTGAAATGAAGGGAGAAATTAGAAAATAAGTAAAGGAGAATTCTGATCCTGTCAAAGTACAGCAATATGTTTGAATGCTGACTTAAACTGTTGAATCACATTTTCTGTTGCAGGATGCCATTTACCATACAGATTTTTGTGTCGTATTTATTTAGTGTTCACTTATCGATGCCGTCAGTACCTCAGACTACATAGCAACAAAGAATAAAATGGTTCGTTAGAAGGATAGAGGCCTGGCTCACACGCCATCACGAACTGGTGTTTAGACACACGGACAGTGATATAGGCCCGTTTACTTAATGAGGAATGGCATGATGATTATGAAAGCTGTTTCATAAAATTACACTATTTTGCCTGGAAGGACTGAGAAAATCAAGAAACAGCATAATCAATATAGCATGCTAAGATTAGAACTTATGACCTCCGAAATGTTGTAGAATCCCAGTCTCATGGTTGGCTCTGGTGAGTTATAATTATGAATGCTTTTACCTTATAACACTTTATACTTAAAACTATAAATAGTTGTGAATAAAATTTTGGCAGCGGTGGGATTCGAACCCACGCCCCCGAAGAGACTGGTGCCTTAAACCAGCGCCTTAGACCGCTCGGCCACGCTACCGACGAGCGTTATGTTTAATAGTGCAGTCAGAAATCGCTCGGTTAATACAATCTGTAATGGCTGTAATCTGTTCATTATCTCTAAAACAGAACTGCGGGAAGGCAATAAGTAAACACGCTTGTAGGCTCAAATAAGGAGAGATGTCGCGTGAGGAAAAAAGAAAGACATTGAACTCCAATTCATAACATAAAATATGTGATCTAATTATTTAAGAATACAAATAAATATTCGAATGTGTCCAACAAAGTTTATCACTATACGGAAATTATTATTAATAGAAGCGTTTCATCCTTAAAGGGTCATTATCAGTCTTAATGATATTGGTTTAACAATCATGTACAAGATGCACTTATTTAACAGTGTTTGTGAATAACATTCACAAGTAAAGTGCTTAAAATTAAGAATTTCATAATTAAACCACAAAAGTGTAATTGGAATGACATGATAATGGCCTCCATGTGTTCTTTCCCGATGTGTGTCATAGAGGTTACACTGAGACTATTCAACGTAGCAGAAAATCAATAAATAAATCTGAATATATTTTTTACTAATTTTGTAAACATGAAACTTTTCAAGGGTGTTCATGCACCTGAACAGTTTAACATAACTTGACTATACGGGATTTTTAATGTTTATTTACTTACTTCTGATGTAAGAAAATCAACATTAGGCATGTTTACAGCCTACGTATGAAATTTATTTACCAACTAAATAATTACTACCAGTTCCCCTTGACAATAAAACAACAGGTGTCTGTGGTTTAAAGACAGTAAACTATACTACCTTTCTTGTACTCTTTCGGATTGGGGCAGCAGGTACGGAATACAGACAGTCGTTATCAAGATTTTCTACAAATTTGAATGGATCATTTCACAAACGTCACAGCGTTTCGCTGTGAATAAAAAATACATTCAAACAGGGCTCGTTTATCATGTTTTATTTTCGCTACACTAGAGTGCGGTAGTTACCAAGGAATGATAGGTTCGATCTGTTCTACATGTAAACATGGTGGCAAACGTGACAGTAAGAAGGTGTCGTAGTTCCATATGCAATTATGAATCAAGTGGGAGCTTAAACGGATTGTAGTGGTGTGGTCAAAGATGACCCATCAATAAATAAATAAATACAGAATAATTTATTAATTACACATACACAAAACAACACCCACTTTTTTACTAATTCAAAGAACAGACCGTAAAATACAAAAAAAAGTGAACAGTAACAAATCTACACCTAAACCACAAAATGGCTTACTGAAACAATAACTAATGTAGTATGTTTAATAAGAATTACTTCATAGGATATGAGGTTTTCACGGCGGTGAGTCTGAAGATTGCTGATTTCTGGGTTGCTCCGTGTAGTGTGGTAGATGTCCACCAACGTTTCAGAGGTTATGCTGATTCCGTCATCGCCCTGATGACTGAGGCAGCATGTTGCTAATTCAGGGTTTTTCAGAAAAAAGTGGTCAAACCAGAGAGTCAACTGCAATTACAGTCTTCTCATTCTAACTAATGTACCTTTGTGTGTGTATACGTATGTTAAACAGGGAAAGCAAATCAGAACCATACTATACCAACAAGTTTATTTTGTCAGGGGTAATAAGAGCTTATCTAACATCTGCCTGTATCATTAGCATTGTCAACATCAGTAAATCCAACCTCACCAAGATCTGAGAATATTTGAAACCTTTCTTCATATATTGTGTTGTTAGTCACTATGGTACTTTAGCAGGAAATAAATTTGTACTGAACTACAAGCGCATACATCAAGTCCACCAGGTTCCAACATGGACTTCTCTTCTGTGTTCCCCAGTCTCTGACAAGCATATACTGACACTGAAATCCCTTCCTGCTACTCATTAGCTCTTTTGCATATTATTTTTATAAAATGCATAAACTGAAAACAGTGAGGAGACTGTTTCTGTAGGTATGTTTATATATGAAAGTGTGGAGTGAATTAGGATAAAACTGATGTGGAAGCATACACCTTAAGGAGTCGGATTTTATTTTGGTCCGCATCATTATTTATTTTTTCATGAAGCTGGTGGGACAATCTTTAAAAATCTGCCAGATGGTCTTTCATGTTTCTTGTTACTGTCAGTCTGTACAATCTTTAAGGACCATAGGTGGTTTCATTACAACTTCCATTATCAATAAAATCAAGAAACTTGAACAGAGTTCATTCTCTCAGCTTCAGAACCAAATGTTTCTAGTACGTCCTTCTGTCTAAAATAAAAACTGTTGCCATGGCGAAGAAACGTCAAAAGAGAGCTAGTAATTTAAATGTTCCATCTTTATATCATTACAATGGTTGACTTTACATTTTAGTTTTAGTTCAGGTGTGTTTTATAACAATTTCTGGGCATACTGGATTGTTTGCTTGTTACTTTAGGTAACAAACAACACATGTCACTTTCATGACTAACATTATCTTCTTTATGTGAGATGATGCTTTTTTGATTAAACTTTCTCAATAGAATCCCAACTACACTCTGAGAATCACTAATTCATTATCATACTTCTTCATTACTCTCACGTCCTTTTGCTAGGCCCCACCATAATGTTGATCAACAAACACTCAAACTCAGGACAGCTTTCAATCATTAAGCATATTAGCTCAAAACTGGAAGGTCTAAGAAAAACACGTTTTGTGTTTGCATTGCTGAAAATCATATTTACTGCAGTGGAGTTTTAGATGAGACATGACATGCATGGACATCTTAATTCTTATAAAATATGAAAGTCACACAGCGGTGAGTATGAAAATGGCTGTCCTCTGGGTCTGGTAGTTTACCGACCTCTGAAATTTCAATAAACTCCTACCAGACTGCATGGTGCTACACCCCAGAAGACAGTCAGTCATCAAAGGATAGGTTTGGAGATTGTTACTGTGGCTAAGGTATCCACTTATGACTATCTGATCTTCCTGGCCTCTGCCCATTTCAGCAAAGGTAGAAGTATGTCTGAGGCACACTCACAGTCAGGATGATAGAATACACATAATCCAAATGAAAGTGGAGGCTTGGTTTTCTTCACATTTCTAGCTTCTAATCTGTGCTAGCGGTGAAACAAGTGAATACAGAAAAATCTACAGGAAAACTGCAGAAACATATGACACAGTCAAGAGTATGAGTAACAGAAGGATGTTGAACTCAAAAGAGTAAATAAAAACTGCTCAGTGCTGTTCAATGTAAAATAATTTAATCATCCAAAACAGATAACCAATGACTGTTTCCAGTGATGGCTTTAATATTTAAAACCTAAATCTTCCTTTTGTACAGAAACTATATTATTTGTTTTGTGAAGTTACCTTAAAATACACTGCTTTCCTTGAAGTTTTTCAGAAAATATGACAATGTTGGAAAAAACCAGTATAGCTTTCATCCCTCACTACCTTTTTTGCTGAAAATATATTTGATTCTTTAAACCATTCTGCTTAAAGCATAATACTCTTGAAAAACAATCTTGTACATAAATCTCTTCTGATATTCTGATGTCAAACTGTAAATAAATCTGACTCTCATTACAGAAAATATGACCAAAAAGTGTACAATTACTATGTTAAGAATAGTTAATGTAGCACACAGTGCACAAATTTAATTAACTTTTAGTCTTCACCAAGCCAATTTATGCAGGATCTTTATGCAATATAATACATTATATTACTTTTCACCTACAGATTAATATATCCTACAAGTCTATTTTACTTTAAAAAATATATCCGAGCTAATGTACATGAAATGTGAGCCTATCCATGAATTACTGTAATTGAAGAAAACTGAGTACTAAATGATAGAGCTAAAACATGGAATCAGCTGTCAATAATCCCGCGTACATTGCGTCAAAGAAAGGTACAGTTAACAAGTTCAATAATATGCATCCTTACTGTCACAACACTAAGTGTAAAAAAATTATAAATGGTTTACAACAAAACACACAATGTGTAAAGCTCACTTTATGAAGCATCACAATAGTCACACAAATAACTTGCACAGTCCAGAAATCTTATGTATACAGGGATTTGTTACAATGTACAAGCCCATAACTTATCTTGTGAACGAACGAACATGACGTCCAGGAGGTGGCTCTCTCCGTCCCCCACCACGAATATTGGGGCCTCCAAACCTTTCCCTATTGTCCTTGACAGCCCAATTCCCTGGGCCACCTCCTCTGACACCTCGGCCAACAAAACGACCACCACCACCTCCCCCACCACCACTACTACTATTACCACCACCACCACCACCAGTAATGCTAAACTTCTCATCTGAACGAGGGAGCATCCGCATGTCTCTTGGTTCTGGTGTCCGAAACGAACGTGGTGGAGGTGGTTGACTGCTGGGGCTTGGTACTTCACCACCATGTGGTGGCCATGCTGGTGACACTCCACCCCTACCATTGCCAATGCGTGGCAGCATTGAACTTATACCTCTGGGAATACCTGAAATCATATTCCAGCAATGAAAGGAAATGAGTAGCCAACAGATATTATTTTACAGAGGCTCAGGAAAAGCATCTACATATAATTCTTCTCATTTCACTATTTTAACGGACTGTAATCATGTTGGATACTGCTTACGTTCGGAGGTATTTAATGTACACAAACCTAATGCCTCATTCAACAGACAATCCATTAACAAAGTTTTATGTGAAAAGATCTGAAATATTAAAATAATTTCTTCAGCAGGTGTAATGAACTTTCATGAGAACAAAAACATGTTACAATGGGGAGAGAAAAAAAAATCAACTTCCACTATTAGGTTGAACACTTGGCATAAATGCCAAATAGTATTAATCTTCTATTCTAATTTCTTGCTTCCCTTTTCCTCTCTGTTTCTTTTAATTAGTATCATTCAATAATAATGAATTACTATACATTATAATGTACTATATACTTATCTTAATGTAATATTACTTACATAAGTGCATAAAGTACAGTAAACACTTCGCTTGTGGTTTAATGGTATTGGAAAGTTTGTATGGAAACAGATCACAGACAAGCCAACAAGTTTTGTATGAAACACTGGTCGTTAACAGTAACAAACATGGCAATGATGCAAACTTAACATCACTGGAAGCTGTCCTAATGGCAACGCTAGCTTTGTAGACATCATAAGCTATTTTTTAAATGTTACCGCACTAAATTTTTCAGTAATATCACCTTCATTGTTCCATTGTTCTGATAGTGTTCTATATATACACACACAACCACTTTTTATTTAATTATTTTCTTACCGTACTACACATAATTCATCCAAGCTTTTGGCCAAGAACACTAACCTCTTCCATTTTCACGTCGGTTATATGGTGTGGCAGAACCAAAGAAGCGCCCTCTATCAGTCCCAAAGGCACGCCCTCTACCTCTGGCTCTGGTTGCCATCATGTCTTTAGCAGCTCGCATAGAAATCTTGTTGTAGCCAGTCGGCCCTGTGGGTTGCTGCCCAGAAATCTCCAATGCCACAAAATCATCCACATGAAGAGATGGAGGGCGGGATGTGTTAGGAGGGCGTGACCGAAACAGGTCCCCTCGTTGTGGCACTGACCTACCAAAGCCTCTTCCTCGCATTGGTGCCACTATAAGAGCAAAAGATTAAATACAGAATGATAACATTCCTAAATTGTCTACTAATATTAGTTTGAATTATGACAAAACCATATTTATAAGATGCTCTCAGATATAAGATCAACCATCTTATAATGACAAATCAGCCATCTTAGTCATCCGAGCAAAATTGTTCGGTACAATTCTTCTTCACAAACTTAACTTATTAAAGCCCAGCCATAAACTACAATATAGCTCCTATAGAAGTACAGTGATGAAAGTCTAATGAGTGGTTTCCTGGATATGTTGTACTATTTAAAACAACCCCAACATGGAAGAAATAAATTACTTTCTGAAGTATAAAATAACTAATACTTTGATCGTAGAATCAAAAGGCTCTACATCAATGATAAAGCCCACTAGAGGACATGATCCTGAGCCAGTTTCATCCACTTTCCAGAATCCATCTTAATGCTAATCTTCCATTTCAATTTTGGTTCTCCCTATGACCATTTTCCAAGAGGTTTCCCACATTCCTTGTCTCCCGTTATCCTAGCTACATACCACACACTTCAATATTCTATACTTTTCCAATTACAATGGGAAATGTTAAAGGTTTCCATGACTTTACACCTTTAAATTTCTCATACTAGCTTACCAAATGGTCTCTTGTTCTTGCTGTCTGCTGTGAGGTATTTGTTGAGGTCATCCCCCCTCTTCTTCAACTGATCACCTTCATCTTCATCCCCACCGGTTCCTGCCGCTGTCTTGAGACGACACAACCGCTCTGCCTCAATTGGGAGATGAAAGTCTGGCAAGTAGAGGCGTGCCATCTCCATCAGATCACAACTCACCTGCAATAATTACAAGCATCAGTAAGAACTATGCACACATCAAAAGCCTGATTTGTCTGCTAGAGCCATCTAGTAGTGAATCAGGAGACACTTGGTGAGAAATGGCCGTGAAATTATGAATCTGCAAACCTTGGTCCAGTGGTGAGCATGCTAACCACTAGTCCACTGAGGGAGACATTTGTTTCTATGTATAAACAAACATCTAGTTCACAGAAGAATAAAAATCAACACAGAAAACATTTTGCAAAAAAAATGTACTCCATTAAAATACATCCTTCCACTCTTATTTAATTATGAAATGAAGTTATGTACATTTTATATTATGTTTATTATGGAATGATACATATTTTACAAAACTAGAAATTCAGGTACTACAATGTTTGTTATTTTAATGCACCTTTGCAGTCCACATTATCCACCCAATTTTACCTGATCCATATCTTGATCTGCCTCATCTACAGGTGGAGGAGCAAGCCAATATGTCGAACTAAGACGTTCATCATCAACCTCACCAACTACAAACACAGGGCGAGCTGCAAACTGTGACAGCAACAGCTCAGGTGGAGGTAAGATCGGTTCTGGAAATTCTGTTTCACAAACATATATTGCCATTATTTTATCTCTTGATTATGTTCCAACTGGCTGGTAATCAATTCATATTCCTCATTAAGACAATACTTTTTAATAAATTCACTGTTTTCTTTATTTCATCTTCTGTATCTTACTGTATTTCTGACTAGAAGATGATGCCAGATATAAAATGAACCACTTTCTTAGTAATACATTTTAAGGATACTTAGCCAGACTGAATTCCCCTTTACAGACACAGTCCTTTTTCCACCTATTTATAGTAGCCCATTTTAGGCGTACAGGATCTTGTCTGATGAAACTCGAACCAAATAACTGCCCTTCATCCTCTTCAACCACAAACTGACACTAGAATTACTGTATTTCCTTGGTGTTTGGCTGGCAAGTATTGTCAGCCTTTTTCACATGCCTGATAACCATTAATCACATGCATTTCACAAGAACAAAGGAATCTGCATTTATGAGTTCTTTTGGCTTCTGCATGGTCTTCCATAACTGTATCATGTGGCCTACTAGACTTTTGTTTCCACAGACATTCAATCAGGTTTGGAAGAATACGAATACACGTGGATACATGAGTTCTGAGGTACACCATGGTTGCAAGATACCTTTCCAGACTGTTGAAATAGGTTTCATATTTTTTGTATTTTTAAGTCATTTTACAGAATGGGGTTACCCTGGCTCAGAGTTCCAAAATCAACCTCCAATGAATTTATGAATTAGTTCAGTACTTTTAGTTTAAATCAGAATTACCATCGATGCATCCTTACCTCTGTTCTCAACAGGTTTGCTTCCCTCAACCTCAAGCAATTTTATCAGGCTGGCAACATTCTCATGCAGACTCTCTAGTGCCTCCTCTTCAGAACTACAATCCTGCAACACACAAATACTTCAAACTCCATATTTAATGTTTATCATGACAGGAATGTAACACTGAAACAATAGATCTAGCCCCCATAGTGTGAAATACTTCAGTTTAGCAAATAACAATGCTCAGTTATTTAATGTCTGGGAAATCTGTAGAATACTGCTGGTACAGACTTTTATTATTGCAATGTATACACACACATATATTCTCATAACTAAAATAATACATGATCCAGTGTGTCAGAAGTTACTTAACTATTTATTCAAGGCTGCTGTGTGGAATGGTTAGACACATGCAGTGTTCTACTATGATTGGATCCCATATGAAATCAAACACAATTAACATTAACAAAATGCATTCTAACCTGTAGAAGTTTCTCCAAGCAGAAAATAGGATGTTTCTTTTTGCTGCATGTAATGCCATTAGCTTCTTTTGCATCTGTTGTTGATTCAGTTCCTTCAGCATCTATAGCATCATCTCGTAGCTCCTCCTCCTGACCTACATGTACACGATCCCAGCCAAGCACTACAGCAAGTTCTGGGACAGACATTACCAGACTCCTGGCAGGCAATCCCAGTCCTGACTCCGTCTCATCTTCCTCAAGGGAAATGCACACACGTAGCAGTTCAAGGCTAGTTGAAAGAGTTGAAAGGCAATCTGAGCTGTCTTTGCTGAATCCAGTGCAGAATTTGACAAATAAATTCAGGAGTGCATCTGTTTTCTTCTCCAGACAGCTGAAGCATTAGAAAAAAATAATATATATATCTTAAGTCCATTTAAGTTGGAAAAAAGAGAATATGTATATCTCACTGACACACCTTTGGTTTGCATGTTTTCATATCCATCATGATTAACCTTAATTTGTGTGTTCTGTGTTCCTTTCAGGTGAATGCTGGGACAGGCCACAATCTCTTTCTACCACATATTTCTCAATCAGAATTCAAAATCATTCAATCACTTTATGCTATATAACTGATGTAGTTAAAAAGGTGTCATTAAATAAATCTAGAATCCAGCAAAGACTTCAGATACATTTGTGACAAAGCTTTTGAGACAAGACAAGTGTTAAGCCCTTATTCAGTGCTATTCTTGTATTCTGAGATTCAATCTCTCCAACTTCAATAAATGCCATATGTACTGTGACTTAGCTTTTGAAAGGCGCAGTATTTTTTATTTCAATTATTGTACATAATATGCAGAGATGACAGAACACACACATTTCACACACAGAAAGAGACACAGTTTATAATGAAACGCAATTCAAAATATAATAAAATGGCACAAAATATTTACTGGAGATACTGAACTAGTGGCACAAATTCTTTTTAATGAACGCAGGAAAATTTCAATTAATGCACTAAGTTTTATATATAAGATCTGTCAAGTCAGTCAACCTACCTCTTGAGATGGTAAAAGCCATAGTCATGTTCTGTGAGCATGAGAAAAGTGCGGACAGTTGGCAACAATGTGGTGAAGCTGTGTTCAATGTTGGCAACATGTTCCAACATGACAGTGCACATTGTAATGAGAAGATCGCGAGGGGGTAGAGCATTTGCCAGATACACATCTGGAGTTGGCATGGACCCAGGATCTCCACCACCTCCCCCAACTAGTGTTGTGCCTGGGGGAGGCAGCAGTGTCACTTCTGTGTCACACAGAGACTGAATCACTGACACCACACACTCCTGTGCCTGAAAAGAAGAATTCACCATAAAGCAAATGCATGTAAGTAGTCATACAGCAATAAACAATGCAATGGTAAAACTCAACATCACCGTCACTTTTACTTGGAAACAGAAATGACAAATTAAAATTACATTCATTACTGAATTAAGGACAAATTACATTCAGGAAATGCTAGCATCTACTCAGTTCAAAATGTTTTATTTAAATAATGTAACATGTATATGGGAAATTAGCAGTAAGAACAGAGTAATGAAATGAACAGGTTGGGATAAATTTTGGTATGAAGATACGACTTACAACATATTATAAAATCAGTTGGCACATTTTATATTAATACCAGACACTGAAAATGTCTTAAAACGAATAAAAAGACAAATGATAGGAATGTGATTAACCAGTTCATTTATGTGATGCAAAAATTGTTTTGTTAGCTGCAGGATAATCATGATCAAGTGTAAAAATATGTATTGCAGATTACTGTTTTAATATGATTATTATAACACAAGATCAGACCTACCTTTGAAGAATTAATGGTGAAAAAAAAGAGACTGTAAATGATCGATTTTCTCAAATTAGTTCAATCGACAGGCACACTTACTGTTTTAAACTTTAAATATCAACCAATTTGATGTTGAAATTCTAAGTGACTATTTTAATAGCAAAAAGAACCACGATACTAAGACCAATGGACAAAAATATATCTGGAAGAAGAATTAGAGGTTCCGTTATAACACAAAATCTACAATGTCAAGTAATGAATTTACCAAGTTGATGCCTACCTGTATGTGTGATGAGGAGTCTGATGGTGAACGCAGGATAGCACAGAGAGATGTCACCAGTCCAGGGTAACGTTCATCAGACTTGACTGAGCCACCCTTGGTCAGGAGATGAAGAACGGCTGATTTCACTGATGCATGTGTGACAAGGCAGGCAAGAAAATTGAGCAGACGAGCTGTGTGACCAGAGCAAGGAGATTCTGGGGTGGCATTCGGAGTAGACAGGGCATTATTTGAAGGAAGAGGCTGAGGAGAGGAAGAAGGAACATGCTGAAGACTAGCTAGCACAGTATCTAGGACACCTCGACTCACAATTAGTGCTGTGGGAGCAGCAAGATCTGCCAACTGCACACACACACGCCTCAATAACTGAAGCAAGGGCTGAAAACTGCTACCACTCATGGTTGCAATGAGTTCCTGAAGTCCTGATCCCAATGAATGTAGATGTGCACTCCACAGTTTACGCCCATTCACAGCCCGCACAATTTCATTCTCTGGTAGTGGTGACCTTGTTTGAACGGGTAAGGGCAATGGAAGCAGCTCAGAGAGAACAAGCAAACCCGGCACAAACGTGTGAGGTCCAGTAGTCACATACTTCACAACTTCTGACATCATCATTGTCCACAAGCTTTTATTCAGAGCTTCTGTTTCTGAAGATGGAATTGAGGATACTGGTTGCGTGTAAGCCAGCAGTGTCTCTATAATTTCACGACAAACACGCTGTGAGTCTATGTAAGAAACGGCCGAAGCAGGAAACGCGTGCATCAAACTATATGTTTGAAGCAGTATAGGTACAGCACTTAGATCCTTAAATTCAGTATTGCGGCAATGAATAACATAGGTCAGCATACGACGTACCAACTGAATAGCTGGCAGGATAAATGAAACCAGCATTGCACCCTGATAACCAACAAAACTCGTTGAATGTAACATTGGCTGCTCATAATATTCGCATAGTTTCTGCAGTATGGCAGTTAGATTTGTAACACCTTCCTGAGAGAAAAGTTGTAGGATTACATACTTATACTTCAATTCAATGTACTCTTCTGCGTCTACAGCCTCATGTACCATGGCCAAGTCCTTATCTCTAAGGGGAATCCCCAAGAACTTTAAAATTCTAACTGTGGTGATTAGTTCGCCTGGCAGAGCAGTAGCATTTTCAACATTCCTTTTAATGATTTCACTGAGTGTTCCTATATCATCATATGCAAATAATGATGGGTTTTCCAATGGTTTCAGCCATGGCACTATTTCAAGCAACCTACATGATGGGGACTGCTGTTCATATTTTAAGGCAGCTTCAAGTATTTCCTTGCCAAATTTCTGCAGGAAAGGGATATAATCAGAGTATTTCACTGTCATCACAATGAGGTCTGCTGAATAACTCTTCCCTGGTGATTTCTTTATCTTTGGATCACCAATGTCATACTTAAAAGATTGAGTTTGTGGCTGTTCTTGAGAAATGTCTTCAATAAAAAATCGTAAAAGAACCCCTATGTTGTTTCCACGACTTAAAACATGAACCAAGGAAAGCTTCCCAACTGGAGTAAAGCCCAAACAATACAAACCATTCAGGTTATCCAGAACATCTGTTTGATCTGGATCCAGAAATGATGGATCACTAGCACCCAAGTCTAAAAGAGCATCAATATACTGCAGCGCCTGCAGTCGGTACACCATGTACAGTCCCAGCTGCTGGGCTGGAGGGGCAGACACTGCACCTTCATCCAACACATCTTCTGGAGGGCCTGGTGACACAGGTGGTGCCTGCTGGAGTAGTACTCTTAGAATTGCACTGGTGATATCCACATTGGAGGCCAAAAACTGCATTCCTCCCTGAGAGTCTAACAGTGTAGCAAGTATCTCTTGCACAGGGACTGTGATGGATGAATAGCCAGCAGTGGTAGGGCAGGATAGTAGCACAAGACATACTTCCAACAAACGGTGACAGCGAAAGTAACAAAACAATGCTGGGTACGGGTCCTGAGAACAGGGACTGATTTCAAACTGTGCACACACTGGAAGGAAACGCTTTGGCTGTGATATGGCTAATGGTGCTTCCCGACACACACGGAGAATCTCTTCCAAACAAGACACAACTGTCTCTATTTCTTGATCTGACACTTCTACACCTGCAGGAATTGGTTCTGGGCTGGCATCTGGTAACCTCTGCCGTTCATCAATGGGGCTAGCAACACCAGGAGGTGGACTAGCATCTATCAGTTGCCCTACACATTCTTTCAGTTTTTCTAAAACTTCATAAACATGTAACTTTCGAAGCAAACAACTGATTGCAAATTTCACTCTTGCCAGCTGATGGCCTTGAATCATTTTAATCAACGTCCGGTAACCACTGGTACTTCCCTCGATTTCCTTCGCAGGATTGTCTTCCACTTTAATAAAACAATTTATATTTTTGGCTAACTTATGACCTTTAGTCCTATGTCCTAGAAAATGCTGTACAGCTTGCTGACATCTCAGACTTGAGTCCAATGCTCGCAGAATCATCAGCTTGATGGAGAGAGCCATATATTCTTTGTGATACAAGTCCAGTAGCTTAAAATGAATATCTTGTGCATCTAGCAACTTTTCTGTAATGGCTTCACCACAATGGCACAAAGCATCAACCAAGCGAATTCCTGCTTTAATGTGTCGCACTTTGTAACCTGGTTGCGGCTGACTTAGGGCCAGATTGAAGTCTAATCCAATCTCTACCCACTTGAATAATGTCTGTAAAATATCTGAAAGATAAACAATAAAAAATCATAATTAGAAGATATCTCAAAAGAAAAACATACAACAGTGATTAAATAATGAAGGATGAGAAGTGACAAATGGATGTGTGAAACTAAAAATGTATACACATTTCTGATCAAAAGGTATTAATGAAAGATGTCATTTGGAACAAGGTGTAGAGAGGAGGAGAGAAGATCTTACAGTGACATGATAGTAAACCTTGTTTCCATATCACGGAATTTCTTGACCAGCTGACTAACTACCAACTGCCCAAGCCCATGCATTAGGAAGCTAGTTAAAACTGCTAACTCCAATTAACTACATGGAGCATACACAGTATTGAGTAGCTATCAGTAAACTACACACAACTGAATATGGTAGGAATAATAGGGAGAAATGTAGGCAGAAAGTGACTTCTAGCACAGTATACAAAGTTTCTAAACACTGCATATCATATAACCTTCCCATGAGCTTCCATATTAACATCATTGCAGTTCAAAGCTTGGGTGTTATGATCATGTCAAGTAAGTCTGGTTTTCTAACATTTCTATGAACACTCACTGACTTACAACACAATCAAACAAAGTGAATGAACAGCAGCCTGGTGTCATTATTCGTAATTTTAGACCACAACACAATGGGTAATTATGCTCTGATTAAGGATAGTTTTGCCAACAGAGAAGCTATTAATTTAGATAATTTAGAAAATTAGACCTGAAAAATGACAAAAAGATCAGCAATAAAATGTTTTTAATTTTTGTGTAACTTCAAACTAAACACATTTCATACCTTCTTTATTAGAGATATATGGCAATGCTTT